CTGTTTAAACACATTCTCCATTGGCAGCAGTTTGAAGTTTAAAACCTCACTGTATGTTTCCCTAGTTCCTAAATTTTTAAAAAAACTAAAGTGTTTTTGGATGGTGTAGTTGATTTATAACCCTATCATCTGAAATTTTCACATATGGCATTTTATGGTTAGGCATCTACCTGACCCATTATACTATACAACAGTAGCCAATAAAATTAAGATAAATACTGCAAATAAAAGTATTCATACCAATGTGCTCAAACTTTAGACCATAAATTCCAAAGAAATGAAAAGTTTCTACTAACCCAACATTAACCATTCACTATTTCATAACCCTATTTGTCAAATTATTCTTACTAAATTAGCATGTTCTCCTACAGAGCTTTTGGAAAAACCCCAAAGGTAGGCTGTAAGTTCAGTTAAGTAAATTTAAAAATGTTTCAAAAAGAATTCAAAACCACCTTAAGTAGCCTAAAATAGCAGGTAGGCCCAGGGGATGTTCCTATCTCTTGGGTGCTGTTTACAAAATAATTGTGTTCTTTAAGTTAACAAGTGTATCACTTAGCTTTTAGTGGCTAAAATAACAGACATTATTTCTGACAATTCTGAGGGTTTACTGGGGTTCTGGTCTGAGCAAAGTTCGATTGGGGTGGGATAGTCTAATGTGGCAACATGTCTGACAACTGGGTGGATGGCTGGACTAAGAGGATCTCAGGTAGTAGGGCTTATCTCTGCTCCACATGTTCTCTCACCCCCCAGGAAAGGAGTACAGGCTTCTTCACATGGCTAATGCAGGGTCTCAAAGAGCAGCAAGAGCTGGCAAGACCCAAGCGCTTTCAAGCTTGCTTGCATCATGACTGTTAATATCCTATTGGCCAAAGCAAGTTACATGGCCTAGCACAAATTCAAAAGGGAAAAACTTAACTCTATCTCTTTTATGACAGGAACTACAAAGTTACAGTACAAAGGGCAAGCACACAGTGATGGGAAGAATTTGTGGTCATTTTTAGCAATCTACCACACTGCAAAATGCACAAGTCCCTGCTCCACATAGTCCATGGTCAAATAAGTTTCCATAACCGCTCTCTTGACACTTTAGTCTCTATATCAAAAAACTGAGAAATCCTGCAGCAAAGAAATACAGTTGATTATATTTACACCAGCATTTCCCAAACTTATCCTATCTAATAAAAGAGAAACATGGTAATTAGCATACAACCGCTACCCTTCCCATTGGCTAATCAGGGCAATATGCAAATTAACTGCCAGCCAAGATGGAGGCCGGCAGCCAGGCAGCTGGAAGCGAACATGAGGCTTGCTTGCTTCAGTGACGGAGGACTCCAATGTTCCCCGCCTGCCTTGCCGGCCTCTGAGCCTGCAGTTTGAAACATTTTAACAAATATAGAAGCTAAAAAAAAAACCAGAAACCTGCTTTCAGCGAGCTGGGATCTCAGAGCTGGAGTTGATACAATGTTTCGATTATAGAAAGCAAACAAACCAGATACCTACTTTCAGCAGCGGAGGCCTAAGAGCTGGAGCAT